AACAGTTTTCTAGCGAACATATTCAAAACCCATTGGGAGTGCAACCCGCTTCAATTCCCTTCGGATTTAACTCCATCTTCCCCAATAGTGCTAAGAAAGATCAGTGCATGTGCCCCTGCTCATGCACCCAAAACATACCAGAACATCTTCACACAAAACGTGAAGTAGAAAAAGATGATGCAAATGCTGCTTCTAGCACCACTGACCACTTGACCGAAGAGACAAAAGTTGATAGCAAAGTGAGTGAAAAAAATGACTCGCAGATTGCAGCTGAGACCAAGGAAATCGATACGACTGCAACGAAAACGACCGCTGAAGCCGAACCTGAAAAGGTGGCTGTAGTAGTCGAAGACAAGAAAAAAGATTAAATAAACGACGTTTGAGTGAATATTCCCGTTCCAAAAGAAACAAAAAAATCAATCCCGATTTCCAATTCCCGTCTCCCAATTCCAGCTTCCTGTACGTCTATCGATCCCGCTCCCGATCCTCAAATCCCAATGCGATTATATACTAACTCAAATGATAACAAACAATGACCAATTAAAATGTGTTCGCTTTTTTTATATTATTATTTCTTTATCACTACCTAATGTATTGTATTATTATGTATGATGTATTTGTTACTAAAAATTGTTAAAAAGTTCTCCTCTCCAACACCAAAACACCCACATACCAATCTATACTCAAAAAAAAAAAAAAAAATTGAATGAATGAAATAATAATGATATTAACGATATAATCCTGTCTACACCCTGTCTATTGATTAATATTGTTTTATTATTTTAATTTGTGAAATGTTGTTCATTATTGTCTACTTTTATGTATTTTTAAATATTATTTTTATTTTGTTTTATTATGATCATTATCATTTTTTTAATTTCTAGTTAATAGTTTTTATTTAATACAAAAAAAGAAAAACAAAAAAAAATTGTTTTATTAATAAATGAAAATGGAATAAGCTTTGTTAAACTTTATTTAGAAGTAATTCCAATTTCAAATTTAAACGAAAAATTAAAAAAAAAAATTAATAATAAAATTGAATTTTATCAAATTTGAAAAATAATTATGAAAATGTGTGTTGTTATTTAATACTATTATTATTATTGGGTAAAAGTGTTGAGTATTCTATATAGTAGGTATGATATAGTAGACTATGATGAATCCTGGAAAGGAATTACCACATATGTGATCGGTTGATATCAAAATGTGTCTTCGATAACAAAGCTTATTCGATCACATATGAGGTAATTCGGTGCGTCTACCGATGTTTTCCATTCGACCGATTTTCCTTAAAACCACTTCTGATCAACTGACAAAATTTGAGCGATATGACCGCAAACAGAAAATGTGACTCAGTAAAAAATATAATCACAACCGATACATTTTTCCCTTTTAAAATAGGGCACACTAATACCGATACGTATTTATAATAGTTCCAAACAAATAACTATTGTAAAGGTAATAACGATAATAACGGTGGTGATAATGCTGACAGATAATATTTGTGTAAAGTTTGGCTTTTTAAAGATCCTACATCATTATAATGGGGAGGCTACATATAGGTTTATATTGATATTAGTTATGCGTAAAAATTTTGGTTCTAAACCCATCTTAAAGTATATCAATCGGTTTAAAATTTTTTTCTAAATCGTTCGATGTAATCCCTATAATCAGATCGTAATTTTCAAAATAATTTTATGAAATTTTGCACATTTTTGAAAAGGTTGCAATTGGTCCATTATTTCACCTAGCTTTCGTATAGTACAAAAGTCTTCTTCAGAAAATCAGTTTTTGATCAATGAAAAATAAATCACATATACTTTTTTCATAACTAGCTTAGGGCACATTTATCGGGCATGACCGATTTTATTTTCTTACTCGATTTTATTGTTGTTGGATTAAAAACGTTTTCAATTTTGTTTTTCGTTCGATCAATTGGCAGATTTTCATATCGAAAAATTTTGTTTCTCAGAAAATATTAGGTCATCTGTCCGTAGGACTATTCTGAATCGTTTTAAAGTAAACCTTGTAGTGAAACTAAAAGTTTTTGAACTTCCTATACGTGCCTAAAATATCAATTTCCTCAACCTCTTCCTTAGAAAATTATATAAGAAAAATCGGTCAAAATTTAAATCCCTTATAAGGTTCCATTCTGAACTGAAAATTGTATCACATTTTTCCTTTATTACTTAAACGTTAGACATTTATCAAGTTGGACATTTATACATTTTAAATAAAATTGAAAGCTGATTTTATAGGAATCGGTTTATAATACTCCCCAATTGCTTGGAAGTCCACCATTACTTACGTTACCAAATCGGGTGCTAAGCAACATTTCAAAATGGTCTCAGTAATTTCTAGGAATTAGGTATGTAGTTCTTAGGAACTCCCAAAATGTCGTGGATTTATACAAGGATCTTTTAGTATTGGGTCCAGTCCCCATTCCTTTTTTAATTATACCCTTTTGTACCCAAACAAGATAGGGATATATTGATTTTGTATTCCGAAAAAGTATATATATATTCTGGGACCATATTAAATTCTAAGATGATCTAGCCATTTCCATAATGATGACAGACAGTTGAAATTTTGCGTAAATATTCTCTGTTATTAAAGTTTATTTGGTATTGCAAATGGGCAATAACGGTCTATGATTTCGCCTAGCCCCCATACAAGTGCTAACCCCCCACCTGGGGGTGCACCCCCAGTTTAAACGGTAAACAATTTGTTACTAATGCAACACAATTAATTTTTATGCAATCAAAAATTATTATTATATTTTTTATATTATAATTGACCCTACCTCCCATACAAGGTCCCATTCCGAAAATCACTTCAACGCTCATAACTGGCCTAATAATATCAGTTTTGCAATGAAATTCGACATAAACAAGTTCCATAGGAACCAAAGTCATCGTATCAAACTTTATTGTTCATAATTGTCCATAATTGACCCTACCTCATATAGGGTCCTCCTCGGAAAATCACTTTAACGCTCATAACTGTCTTTATAATACAATTATAGCGACAAAACAAGTTTTATAGGATCTCTCTACCAAATTTAATGAGAATCGATCCATAATTGAGCCAACCACCCATACATGGTCCATTTCAGAAATAAATTTTTGGAACATAATTGTCCCTTCTGTAGGAATACCACTATTAAATGTTGCCGATTTACCGTGAAAAACAATAGCACATTGTTTCAGTATAAAAAGGGCCGTTTCATATTTACAGAAAACTTGGTAATAAGGTCCTTTTAATAACCCTATATGTTCAGGAGTCAGTTTAAAACATGCGTATGGTCCACTTTTTTTAATTATCATTAAAATATTCCAAACAAAAATGTAGTAACAAGTAGGAAAGTCGGACATGTCCGACTATATGATACCCAACACCATGGGAATATCTTAAAAATTATTTAGTTTTTATAAAAATTTGTTGAATTTTACCTTAATTCCAATGTATTTAAGCAATTTATTGATGAAAAACTAAATTTCTAAAAGAGGCTTTATATGGGAGCTACGGTCAAATATGGGCCGATCCTCAAAAAATTAGGAAGAGGGATGTAATTTTATATAAAGGTTTGTTATGCTGAATTTCATCGCGATACTAATGGTTATAAGTAAATTTTTGGAGGGGGTTTATATGGGGGCTAGGGTCAAACGACGGCCGATCATTATAAAAATTGGCATGGTCATTTATGCTTATATAAAACTTAGTTGTGCCAATTTATGGTGAGATAGTAGTATATTTGACATTGTTATGTGTTAAAAACCCAAACTTGACCTTCCAAGTTGTATGGGGGCTAGGTGAAATAATGGACCGATTTCAACCATTTTCAATAGGCAAAAAACTCGTATGGTTCAAATTTTATCCAAATATCTTTAAAATTGTGGGCTGTAGTGGTGTAGGGTATAAATATATACATATGTATGTACATATATCGTTGAATTTCATTTCGCGGCGATCATTCCACTACTTTAAATAGCTGGTGTCGGACAATACTTTCCTATTTGCTGTGCATTACCTATGGAATAGATATAATAAGATCAATGCAGCTGGACTCAAGGGAATCGAATAATGACCTTGAACCTATACTTGCTTTATAAAACAGATCTTCACAAAACATTCTTGACAGCGAAAAAAAGATTTTAAAAATTTTCAACTGAAATCGAAAGAAACCAAATTCTATCTGTTCCAAAGCTTATCATAAGACTTTGAAAAAAAGGTATTTATAAATACACAAATATTTATTTTAGTTTAAATCCCAACCAAATGCTTTAGCTAAAAGTGGTAAAGATGTTGTTTTTTAAACTTAATTGCTTTAAGTAAATATTAATTATGTCGGGCATATAGAGTTTGTTAAGTAAATAATGATTACTAAATATAATATTTGACAGAAAAATGCCGCCTTCGCACCAATATGCTACAGTTTTTCTTTTGTTGAAATTCTCACAAACCCAGTGTTAATGAAAATGTTTGTATTGACAGTGTGAACCATAAGCAAAGAAACAGAATTTTTATTTCAACTCTCCATAATAGTTGTTGGAAGTTGCATATGTCACCTTGTAGTTAGTACCCCGATTTCAATGTTTTAAGTATTTTCCCAAAATATGTGCATATGTATGTTAAAAAGTCACCTCTTTTAAACTATACACGTTTTTATTTAAACTTAACACCTTAGCTTATCTTATTACCTTAATATTTATGTATATTATATCTATAATTTGTAATACAAAATTTTTAGCAACAATTTAAAACTCTTTAAATATTTATGTACTTAAATATTATGTATTTTTAATAACTAATAATACACCCAATTTTGAGAAGTAATTCATTGATGAATTTGTACAAAAAAAATGTGAGTAATGTAGCAATTTAACTAAACTCAACGTCCAAAAAAACTCTGTAATCACTCACCAACTCATCCGAAAAAAAACTACAAAATATAAATACAACTCCACTCTGGAAATTAGCATTATTATTGTTCTGAACGTCTTTAAGTTTAGCCGTTTCTCAAAGTTTTATTAAAAAAAACAATTGTATTTTATTTTACTTAGTTTTTGTTTTTGTGTGTAAATTTCAAATAATGAGTTTCAATTTAATTATGTTCAAATTAATGGTTTGTACTATTGTATAAAATTATTCAACAAGACAAATTTATAATTAAGTTTTTTGTTCTTTGTTCTATATATAAACTCGTCATTAGTTGTTTGTGTGGTTGACATGTTCCTGGGCTGCTGTAATAAATAAGGATAATGAAGCAGACAAATCAAATGTTTCCGATTTGGAAACATCAGCTACTTCGGCAAAATGTAAGTAGAATTTTTGAAATAAACTGCTTTAAATTTAAAGTTTGTGTAATATCGGGACTATAAACAAATCTAATGTCGGAGCTATAAAGTAGATTGCAGTCTAAACTTTAAGCTAGTCTATAACTTGGTCTATAAACTATTTCATTGACAGAACTATAACTGGACTAAAATCTAGACTACAGTCTGGACTAAAACGTAGACTAAAATCTGGACTATAAACTAGTCTATAATCTGGACTATAAAATAGTCTGTAGTCTGGACTATAAAATAGTCTGTAGTCTGGACTATAAAGTAGTCTATAATCTGGATTATAAACTAGTCCATAGTCTGGACTAAAAACTAATACATAATCTGGACTATAAACTAGGTATAGTTTGGATTAAAAACTAGATTATAGTCTGGACTATAAAGTAGTCTATAATCTGGATTATAAACTAGTCCATAGTCTGGACTAAAAACTAATCCATAATCTGGACTATAAACTAGGTATAGTTTAGACTAAAATCTAGATTATAGTCTGGACTATAAACTAGTCTATAGTCTGGACTAAAAACTAGACTACATTCTGGACTATCAAATAGTCTTTTTTCTTGGCTATAAACTAGTCTATAACTGGTCTTTAGTCTGGACACTAGACTAAAGTTTGCACTAAAAGCTAGTCTAAAAACTAAAAACTACTTACACTACAAACTGGTCTATAGAGCGAACTATAAACTTGTCTATAGTCTGAACTATAATCTAGATTATAGTCTTGACTATAAACTATTTCTAAATCTGGACTATAAATAAGTTTACAGTTTGAAATATAAACTTGACTGAACTAAATATTGCTCTGTAATCTTAATTGTACTCTAGTCTATAGTCTGAACTTTAAATTGGTATATATTCCGGATTATAAACTAGTCTATTTAATTAAACTAGTATGTAGTCACAATTAAGTGTCTGTGACACTGACTATAAACTAGTACATACTATAAACTAGTAAAACAAAAAAGTTGACTCTATTCCCTACTAAAGTTTCCGATATTCAGTTATCAGCGAGCAGGACCGATCGCAATTATTTTGGAATTTACATAGAACAATTAAAATTATTAGTTAATTATTTTTTTCCATTTTCAGTGCTTAATCTTGGTGGTCTATTTGGTTACGGCAATAGTGGTTATTATCCCAACTACAATAGACCGGGTTATTATCCCAACTATAACACAAATGGTGGTTTCTATCCCAATTACAATACGAATGGTGGTTTCTATCCCAGTACAGGAAAATATCCCATAACAAATACGGGCGGATACTATCCCAATAACAATTATTATCCAACCACCGGCACTGGAACCAATATCCTAGGAGGTGGTTATGGAGGATATGGTGGCTATGGAGGTAATGGTGGTTTGCAACAATATAGTGGCTATTGGGATCCTAACTACAGCGGCAGACGTAATTTAGGTTATGGTTACTACCGAAACACCGATACCTATGGTTTGCCCAAGACTACCAGCGATCAGTATGGCAGCAGAGAAAGAGATCGTGTTTCCTATAGCTATAGAGGTTATGAGTGAATATGAAAAAGCTGTTAAATTGTTCACTGGGTCTTTAATGTTTAAGTTAATTGTGCGTTTTTGTTAGAATTTAATATTTGTATCTTTTTTGTTTTTTTTTAATCACTTGATGTCTCAAAGCATGTTTGAGTTTCGTTAAGATTGATTACTTCTATTCAGTGAGTCATTTTGCATGCCTAATTTAATTTCAATTCAATTGTCAAACAATCATACGTTTTAGACACATTTAAATTTGTTGATGTTTTATGGATGTGAAAAATGAAAAAAAAAAAAAATAAAAAATAAATTTAATCAACAAATTAATGTGTCAACTTTTGTTAAGAATATTCATTTGAAAATAAAAGTTGTCATTTTCTTGTTAAATTTGTAAATACATATTAGAACTCTTTTTGATGGAAAATTTATACGATGAGAACTTTTTGTTATTATTATTTATATAAAATTAATTAAGCTATTGTTTGTAAGAACAACTATTTATTTGGGCAATATTAAATTCATTTTTGAAACATTTTTAAAATTAGTTGCTTTGATCAGCCTTAAAATATGCCTTTGTTTATAAACAAATTTTGACATTTAACACTATTAATACCTTTTGCTATTTATTGATGGAACAAACAATTGTTATGCGGTTATTTGTGTAAACATTTCGGATAATTTATTTGTCTTGTTTGGTATTTATTTAGTATTTCTAACAGATGTTTTTGGCAAAATTTTTATTATATATAAAAAAATATTTATGCATTTTTTTGTTTATTACTGCATAAATAATTAATAATAAAACTAAATATTTTTATTTGGGTTAATTATTACCAAATGTGGGGAAAGGGGGGAGGGGCGAGGAGAAACAACGGGGGCGAGGAAGGCGCGGGAGAAGAAGAACGAACGAACGAAAGAACGAACGAACGAAGAACGACGAAACGAACAAGAACGAACGAACGAACAACGAACGAACGAAACGAAAGAACGAACGAACAGAACGAACGAACGAACGAAAACGAAGAACGAACGACGAACGAACGAACGAAACGAACGAAAAAACGAAACGAACGAACGAACGAACGAACGAACGAACGAACGAACGAAACGAAAAGAACGAACGAACGAACGAACGAACAACGAACGAACGAACGAACGAACGAACGAAAAGAACGAACGAAGAACGAACGAAAACGAACGAACGAACGAAAGAACGAACGAACGAAACGAACGAACGAACGACGAAGAACGAACGAAGAAAGAAACGAACGAACGAACGAACGAAGAACGAACGAACGAACGAACGAACGAACGAACGAACGAACGAAAACGAACGAAGAACGAAGAAGAACGAACGAACGAACGAACGAACGAACGAAGAACGAACGAACGAAGAACGAAACGAAAGAACGAACGAACGAAAACGAACGAACGAACGAACGAACGAACGAACGAAACGAACGAACGAACGAAAGAACGAACGAACGAACGAACGAACGAACGAACGAACGAACGAACGAACGAACGAAAACGAACGAACGAACGAACGAACGAACGAACGAACGAACGAACTAACGAAATAAAGAACGAACGAACGAACGAACGAACGAACGAACTAACTCGAACTAAAACAACGAAAGAACGAAGAACGAAGAACTAACGAACTAACTAACTAACAAACTAACTAACTAACGAACGAACTAACTAACTAACAGAAACTAACGAAAAAAGAACTAACTAACTAAAACTAACTAACTAACTAACTAACTAACTAACTAACTAACTAACTAACTAACTAACTAACTAACTAACTAACTAACTAACAACTAACTAACTAACTAACTAACTAACAACTAACTAACTAACTAACTAACTAACTAACTAACTAACTAACTAGCTAACTAACTAACTAACTAACTAACTACTAACTAACTAACTAACTAACTAACTAACTAACTAACTAACAACCAACAACTAACTAACTAACTGACTGACTAACTACTAGTCTATAGTCTAGTCTATTACATATCTAGTCTATAGTCCTATTCTATAGTCTAGTCTATTGTCTAGTCTATACTCTAGTCTAACAGTCTGGTCTATAGTCTAGTCTATAGTCTAGTTTATAGTCTAGTCTATAGTCTAGTTTATAGTCTAGTCTATAGTCTAGTCTATATTCTAGTCTATAGTATAGTCTATAGTCTAGTCTAAATTCTAGTCTAAAGTCTAGTCTATAGTCTAGTCTATAGTCTAGTCTATAGTCTAGTCTATAGGTCTAGCTATATTCTAGTCTATAGTCTAGTCTATAGTCTAGTCTATAGTCTGTCTATAGTCTAGTCTATAATCTAGTCTATAGTTAGTCTATAGTCTAGTCTATATTCTAGTCTATAGTCTAGTCTATAGTCTAGTCTATAGTCTAGTCTATAGTCTAGTCTATAGTCTAGTCTATAGTCTAGTCTATAGTCTAGTCTATAGTCTAGTCTATAGTCTAGTCTATAGTCTAGTCTATAGTCTAGTCTATAGTCTAGTCTATAGTCTAGTCTATAGTCTAGTCTATAGTCTAGTCTATAGTCTAGTCTATAGTCTAGTCTATAGTCTAGTCTATAGTCTAGTCTATAGTCTAGTCTATAGTCTAGTCTATAGTCTAGTTTATAGTCTAGTCTATAGTCTAGTCTATAGTCTAGTCTATAGTCTAGTCTATAGTCTAGTCTATAGTCTAGTCTATAGTCTAGTCTATAGTCTACTGTATAGTCTACTCTATAGTCTAGTCTATAGTCTAGTCTATAGTCTACTGTATAGTCTACTCTATAGTCTAGTCTATAGTCTAGTCTATAATCTAGTCTATAGTCTAGTCTATAGTCTAGTCTATAGTCTAGTCTATAGTATAGTCTTTAGTCTAGTCTATAGTCTAGTTTATAGTCTAGTCTATAGTCTAGTCTATAGTCTAGACTATAGTCTATAGTCTATAGTCTAGTCTATAGTCTAGTCTATAGTCTAGACTATAGTCTATAGTCTAGTCTATAGTCTAGACTATAGTCTATAGACTAGTCTATAGTCTAGTCTATAGTCTAGTCTTTGGTCTAGTCTATAGTCTAGTCTATAGTCTAGTCTATAGTCTAGTCTATAGTCTAGACTATAGTCTATAGTCTAGTCTATAGTCTAGTCTATAGTCTACTCTATAGTCTACTCTATAGTCTAGTCTATAGTCTAGTCTATAATCTAGTCTATAGTCTAGTCTATAGTCTAGTCATAGTATAGTCTTTAGTCTAGTCTATAGTTAGTCTATATAGTCTAGTCTATAGTCTAGTCTATAGTCTAGTCTATAGTCTAGTCTATAGTCTAGTCTATAGTTAGTCTATAGTCTAGTCTATAGTCTAGTCTATAGTCTAGTCTATAGTCTAGTCTATAGTCTAGTCTATAGTCTAGTCTATAGTCTAGTCTATAGTCTAGTCTATAGTCTAGTCTATAGTCTAGTCTATAGTCTAGTCTATAGTCTAGTCTATAGTCTAGTCTATAGTCTAGTCTATAGTCTAGTCTATAGTATAGTCTATAGTCTAGTCTATAGTCTAGTCTAGTATAGTCTATAGTCTAGTCTATAGTCTAGTCTATAGTATAGTCTATAGTCTAGTCTATAGTCTAGTCTATAGTCTAGTCTATAGTATAGTCTATAGTCTAGTCTAAATTCTAGTCTAAAGTCTAGTCTATAGTCTAGTCTATAGTCTAGTCTATAGTCTAGTCTATAGTCTAGTCTATAGTCTAGTCTATAGTCTAGTCTATAGTCTAGTCTATAGTCTAGTCTCTTGTCTAGTCTATAGTCTAGTCTATAGTCTAGTCTATAGTCTAGTCTATAGTCTAGTCTATAGTCTAGTCTATAGTCTTGTTTACCTATAGTCTAGCGGAAAATTACTTCTGCACTTTAAAATCTGGAAAAGTACTATTTTTGGTACAAGTTAATACTACTCTAAAATTTTAATTTTTCATGCGTGGTACAGGTGTGCACGTCCACTACATTTTTAATGACCCACTCAATAGTTTACATACTTTCAGATCAAAGCAAATTCTGTAGTAAACATATTAAACCCAATAATTTATGATGCCTCAAACAAAATTCCTAAACTAAAAGAAAAAGCACATGATTTATTCGCCAATTACTTTTTTGTGTATTTACATAAGTAAAGCATTTCTAAACGGTTATATCTCTCCTATAGGTTTTTAAGTATTGTTTCCCGGTTTTCATTTCGTTTTTTATTAGAACAAACATTTAAAATGATTAATGCTTATCATTCACATGATTTTTCTATATTTATGTGCCATTAATTGATTCACGTCACTTTATTATGGGGCCCAACAATATACAATTAACTTTTACTGTCAATAATCATTGTATAAACAAACAGCCTTCATCGACATCAACGGGCTTTGAGAAAATCGTAAAAAAGTGGGTGTTCTTTCGCATTAAATATTTATACACCCGCACACACACATAAACACACAGACGCAGGTATTTTAATTTATTATTCATTTTTTATTTTACTTTATTTCCAGCTCGTTTGGTTTATTCTTTACTTTGGATAACTTCAATATTTTCTAGATAATGTTGTTTTTAAGGTATTTACATACCTGTTATTTTGATAATAAATTAATTGCGATTTTTTATTTGCATTGTTGAATTGTGTTTTTTCCTTTCTTTTTTTGTTTTGGGGAAAAAGAGGCACTCGCCACTCATAAATAAACATTGTGTGTAGCGATTATTTACATTTTATGTGGAAGAGCAAAGCTAATGAAAAATCTTAAAGAATTTTAAGAAAATGTGCAAAAAAAAAAACTAAAAATCTTAAAGTTTCAAATATTCCAGACATCATGGAATATTTTTGAAGATTTAACAAATTTTCTTTTACTTTTGAGTCTACAGGTGTTGGGGGTCATGAACTTATACAGTTTTTATTACATCTAGTGTTCATGCAAATATTCTCTCGGAATTTCACTTGAAAATTCAAAAATATTTTAATTATATTCGAATCTAGAATTGGACAGTTGAGGGTGAATTTTGGATCAGATTTGGTTCTAAATAATTTGCACACCAGTTAATGTCTTTAACCTTTAAAATTTATTGAACCTAATGAAATTGGGCTTAATGTTTTATAAAAAAATATTAGTTTCTTACTAAATTTTCGATTTTTTACGATTTTCATACGCCCTAAGTATTCTTAACTGAGTTATGAGTGAGTTATAAGTTAGTCTATGTCACGGTCCACGGGACTTTATCGTACCTTAAGATTGCTTTACATCTGTATAATTAGCCGAAATCTAAAGCCTTCTTGTCTCATAGTTAAGATCATCAGCACCCGAATTCTTCTTGACTATATAGTTTAATTTAGGCATCGTCTTTATGTTGTTATAGTTTAGCTGATTATTTCACAAGT